GTAACTGTGGCCTGCTGCACGGTCCGAGAAGCCGCGGACGACAGTGGCGGTGGCACATGACCACCCGTGTTGCTGCTCTTCTACCATGCACCATAGCCTGGCTGCTTCGCTCGTGAAAACGTGGAATGAAGGGCGGTTCGGCCGCATCACTCGACTGCTCGCGCTGGTGGTGACTACTCATCGGTAACGGCGGGAACGTCTCGGTCTGCCTGGAGCTGCTGACATCCCCGACCTGCGACGACGGTGCGCTCGGGAGGCTGCCGGGAATGCTGGGCACGGGAGGCTGTCGGAATGATGGCGCCTTACTCTTGGTCAAGCGAATCGAGTCCCGGATGCCTGTCTTCCGCTTGGGCTGAGGCATCTCAAAGTCTGGCAGTACTGTCTTGGGTGGCGGAGGGGCCGTGATGATCTCGGGTACCGCTTGCTGTGAGTGAGCGAGGAAAGACAGCGCTGTCAGCCAGATGTAATGACGGTCTGCAGACACGGCCGTAAATTTGAGGGCCCTCTGCGGAGTCAAAATCAAGATGGACCGGTTGAAAAGTGTCGCTCCACCCTTGGGCGTCGGGTTGTCGTCCTTGACGTCAAGAACAGACTGAATCGTCACTGCAAAGAATGTAAGTTGCATGACCAACATCAAGTCAAGCTGGAGGTTTCTTACGCTTTCGGCCAGCCTTGCCCATCAAGGCGCTGCCAGAATTGGGCTGCTTGCTGCTCCACAAGATGGCGCGCTCGTATGGAGCCAGCCAAACCCATCTCTTGTGACGATCGTTGCTGTTGTCATCCTTGCCGTTTGTTTCTGGTACGCCAAATGACTTTCGCCTCCTCACGTACTTGAACATCCATTCGCCGACCATTGTCTGAGCGATGGCATCTACAACGCCGGTGGTTGGCGAACCGCCTCCGATCGAATTCAGGTCTGTCAGGTTTGTCTGATTCGTCTGATACGTTTGACTCGTCTGGGCCGTGTTTGTCGATGGTTGAGACCGGTGGGACGACCTGAAGCGTGATCGACTGGGCTCACGATGGCTCATGGAGGTGATATCATTGTGCGGCAGCGGCGGCAGGCTAGGGCTTTCGGGAACTTCTGTCGTCTCCGAGAACGGTGGTGGCGACCGGCTTTGTCGCCTGTTACGCTGGGTGCGTGGCAGAGCCGCAGCCGAACGCACTTTGCGGATACTGTTCGCACGGTAGTGGGTGCGGCTACTTCCTCTCCTGTGCCAACCGCCCTCTCCTCTTGTTGGGCTTCGCTGTCCATCGCTTGGCGCGCTTACACTGAATGGCGGTCGTCTAGAGCTCGCCCTCGTTGGAATAGGGAAAGGGGGATCTTGAGAATCTGGCAGACTGGGACTCCTTGAACGTCCTTGGTGGCTTGCAATACCACTCTGGATGAGAGCAGCCCGGCGCATCCCGTTCGGCTTGCTGCTTGGTCCGGCAATGGACTTCTCCACGCTACGTTGAGCACCCATTTGGACCGAAGTTCTTGAGCCAGGGTCTTTGTCCTTGTTGACAGTCTCCTTGCTCTGCAGACTATAACTATAGCTTTCGGTGCCGAGCGGCTTTGCGGAGCTTCTCGGCGCGGAATGATACCTCATAGAATCATGTTCTGGAGATGTCGCCGTGCCGGATGACCTTCGCTTGGATGGTTTAACCGCACTGGATTTCGGTCTCTGGCCTGGGTGTGACAAAGCCGTCTGGAACTCAGGATCGCTCAGGTCACCATCGCCAAAGTCGTCCGCTTCATCGGAGCTGTTGGCATCGAATCCTGCGAAGAGACTGCTGATGCGATGGGGCCGGCGCATCGGTGCCTTTTGACTCGAGAGTGGTCCGTCGTCGTTGTTGCCCGGGTAGGCGTCATTGTGCGTGTTTTCAAGGCCGTTGGAGAGCCCCCCGGAGAAAGTAGGCGAGATCGGAGGTGCGGGAAGTGGTGGTGATGGTGGCACATCACCAATACTGCGCCTACTCGTCAAACGTCTTGGGTTTCTAGGCGGCAGATTATTGGGCGCAGGCGTGAATTGAACCAATGAAGGATCACCAGCATTCGCTGGAGCCGCTGGGTTGGGAGACGGTGGCCGCGACGATATGGTGTCTGGATGCAGATGAAGTGGAAGCCTAGCAAGGCGCTGGTCGATCGGATCTCTCAGTCTGAACACGATCGATTTCGAAGCAACAGTGACGATAGAAGTGATACCTGACAAGCGGCATCCTGTATAAAAGTGGCAGTCTGGCTCGCGCGAAGTCGACGGCCGGCTTCGTGGGTGGGGATGACGCTGATGCTGGGAATCGACAACTCTCTCAAAGGGGCAAAATTCAGGCAACCTCTGCAACGGCTCTGGCTCGTCTTTCCTTCTTCGGTCTGTGGTCGAAAGCTGACACCCATGGGGGACAGTCTTCAATCTCCGGAGATGGTGGGGTCCATGGCCCGGAACGGGGGATTTGGGGCGTTCTTGGGGCGGGCTTCAACGGCCTCCTTCTGCTGTCTGCGATCCCAGCCTGAAAACATCACATTTCTTGAAAGACGGTACCGGGTGGTTCCGAATGCTCAGTGGTTCTGGCCGAGCTGAACGCGTTTCCGTCTCTTGATTCGCCTCAATCTCCAGCTCCCGCGTGACGCTGGCTGTCGCCTTCGGGAGGTCTCTCGACCTGTGTTAGGGGTTCTGGCGTCGCCGGTTTGAATACTTCGAGTGTGGGGGACGGAGGAGGGGAAAATTGCCCTCCCGTGTCTTTGTAGGCTAATTTTGGCGCAGGTGGTGCTTCCTCTTCGTCCTCGTCCTCTTGGATCCCGTCTTCCAGGGCCTCCAAGACGGTTTGGTTCACCCAAAGTTTGCCACGCGCAACACTGCCTGGCCTCTTCAGGCTTTCAATGCTTTGGTTGCGACGGTGCATTCTGGACACAACGCTGTCGCGGCTCATGTTGCGCGTATGGCGGTGATG